ACAAAAGCCTCCTGGAGATGCTGGAGAGATGGCTCAGTGGCTCAGAGCACTGGCTGCACTTGCAGAGGACCTGGATTCTGTTCCTAGCACCTACAGGGTGCCTCACAGCCATCAGTAACTCCAGTTCCAGGAGATCTGACCTCCATTTCTGTGTATCTGGTATCTTGCGTGTGCACCAGGCATATATGCATCACATATGCATGCATACATTGCATAGGCACACATACAGTGTATAGGTGTACATGCAGGGAAAACACCCATATACATACATAAATAAATCTTTAAAAAGATTTCTTGTTGCCGGGCCGTGGTGGCGCACGCCTTTAATCCCAGCACTTGGGAGGCAGAGGCAGGCGGATTTCTGAGTTCGAGGCCAGCCTGGACTACCCTGTGAGTTCCAGGACAGCCAGAGCTACACAGAGAAACCCTGTCTCGAAAAACCAAAAAAAAAAAAAAAAAGATTTCTTGTTAATGCTACTTCAAAATTTATCTCAGGAAAACTGGAAGAGTTCTTTTAGTTTGTTACCGCGTTTAAAACAGACGGTAAACAGTAGGTGGCAGATAGAATCATTCTGCTTAAAACATTGCAGATACAGGTAGTAGGCTCGAGTTTAGTCTGGATTTTTCTGGTTACTATGAGGTGGGAAAACAGAACTCTTCTTATTGTTCAGGCAGATGTTTTTCCTTTTCATGTTCCTTTTTTCCTTCTTGTACTAGGGATTCAACCTAGGGCTTTGCCCTTGCTAGGCAAGAACTCTACCACTGAGCCACATCCCCAACCCTCAGGGACATTTCAAAGGAGAAGAACCCTCTAAGGGTTGTGTTCCCACAACACATATATAAATGTGAACATATATACCCACATCTGTATGCCTGGATGTGCACTTGGGTACAGATGTGCATGCATACACACACGTGCAAACCTCACGTGTATGTATGTGTGTACAATGCACAGTATGTCTCCATGTTTTAAGTGCATTAGTCTTAATGAAACAAGGTACAAAATACATCCTGGTATGATGACTATCTGGTTCTTTTTCTTTAGAAAGAAAAGTTCGCCAGTGCTTCAGAGGAGGCAGACTCTGTTCAGACAAGTATGCAAGGTATGTCTGACTGAAGGATGAGCGGACAGTTTTAGGATGTGTCATTAGGGGGCTAGGGGCTGGCTTTGGGTGTGCATAATGTAGTCTAATATAATTTTGGAAGTTTTGATGCACAGGAAAACTGCATTCCAGTAGTTTCCTGAAGCATCAAACTCCAAAAGTAGTTATTTCTTCTTTTGACTAAGGCCTGGTCCATATTAAAATCTGCATATTCCTGTGAAAGAATGATCTTGTCTATGCCTTTGCTATTGGTAAGCGTTGGGTTTTGACTGAAGGAGAAGAGAGATACCTAGGAAAGGCAGCCAAGTTCCAGGTGACCCTGTTCAATGTGATGTCTATACATTAAGTTTGAACTTTATCCTAATAGATACTGTAAATAAACTGCACCAGAAGGAGGAACAGTTTAACACATTGTCTTCTGAACTGGAGAAGCTGAGAGAAAATTTAACAGGTAAGGCCGTGTCATCTGGTGACTAGCCATTACTTACAGTGGAGTGCCTCGGATGGGATAGTTCACTCACATTACAGTAACAGATCTGCCGCGCAGACCCTGCCCGACTCTGTGTGGGCGTAATACTTGTTTGAGTTATGTAACCTTGAGCATGTCTTCTTTTCTCTGTTTACAAAAGGCCAGCATCTGCCACCGCTGCCACTGCCCTCCTACACAGCGTTTCACACAGGCCAGCGTACAGCTGACCGCTTGCTCCTCGCCTCTCCCCTTAGCCCTTTCGTTCTTCTCAACACTGGCCAGTCAGTCATGTGACTTCTCTTACTCCCGTGTCACTCATTAGAAGCTCTAGTCCTTGCCCATCAAACTCCGAGTTTGTCTCAGACTCTTCTTGCCCTCACCCATGGCACTCAGCCATCCGCCACCTTGTTTTTATAGGACAGGTCAGGCCTACCTGGGGCCTTTACTTGCTTCTTTCTTCTGATACTTCAAGTCTTTTTTTAAATGTCACTAATTCAGAGTTCAAAATAATATGTTACTCCTTCCTTCTTTCAACATCCTTTCTCTACCTCCAGATTTCCTCTTAGTACCACTTCTTACAATGACATCGTTCCTTTCTTTATTCAGTTTATAATCTGTCTCTGCTAGAATGTGATTTCCATGCCGGCAGAGATGGCTATCTGCAAATATCTCCAGCATAAGGATGCATTCAGCAATTTTTTTCTCCTTAGCACAACAGTTCTCTTTCTTTTCTGTGTATGCAGACATGGAGGCAAAGTTTAAAGAGAAGGATGAACGAGAAGATCAGCTGGTAAAAGCAAAGGAAAAATTAGAAAATGACATTGCAGAAATAATGAAGATGTCAGGAGATAACTCTTCTCAGCTGACAAAGATGAACGATGAGTTACGTCTGAAGGAGAGGTATGTGTGACTGCCGGAGAGCCCGCCTGTTAGAGAGAACACTCAGCAATGAGATCGTGACAGGGGATTAACAGCGCAGGGCTGCTGGATGGGCATAAGCCCAGCACTTGAGAGGAGAGGCAGGTGGATTTCTGTGAGTTCAAGACCAGTCTGGTCTATAAAGTGAGTTCTAGGCCAGCCAAGGCTACATAGTAAAACCCTGTCTTAAAGCAAAAATGAAACAACCCAGGAAACTCAAGATTGTCCTGTTTTAAGGCTTCCTGGCTCCTTTTCTCATTGTGTTTCCATTTTCTGGTTTTTCTTCTTTTAAGCTGTGTGTGTGTGTCTGTGTCTTGTTCTCTCTGTGTTTCTCTCTCTGTGTGTGTGTATCTTGTTCTCTCTGTCTCTCTGTCTGTCTCTGTCTCTCTCTCTGTCTCTTTCTCTCTGTATCTTGTTCTCTCTCTCTCTCTCTGTATCTTGTTCTCTGTCTCTCTCTGTCTCTGTCTCTCTCTCCCTCTCCCTCTCTCTTTCTCTCTCTTTCTCTCTCTCTCTCTCTCTCTCTGTCTGTCTGAGTCTGTGTCCGTGTCTGTGTCTGTGTCTGTGTCTGGGGATTGGAGCTACAGTCCAGCTTTCTGCTCCTCCCTCCTTGAGTCAGCTGTCTGGTCAGTCACATGTGTTGTTGTTACTGTTCCACCGTGGGCTTTAGACATGCATCAGGCTTGGTCAGTGAGTGCTTTCACCAGGCTCCCTCACCAGTCCTGTGGGGGCCTGCTGAAATGAGCTCCACCTGTGTAACTTGCTGAGCATGACAGAGTTAGGAGTATAGTTGGATTCTAGACCTTTCAAGGACTTAGGAAGACATCTTTTACAGGACCTTAGAGATGTTTGTAACTTCCTTCACACAATGACAGGAAGCACCCATTGAGGGCTGACTGTGTGTTTACTGTGTTTATACACAGTGTATTTTTCTAGCTTCCCATTTTTAAAAAGAAGGAACTGAGGCTCACTTGAGGTATGCCAGCTGAGCCACCTGATCTTGGTGCCCTTCTTTTACTTAGATTTTCCTATTACTAAAACTTCTTTTATCTATCTTAAGGTCTGTCAATGATAATAATAATAATAATAAGTAGTAGTAGTAAAGTCTATTATTCTTAGGTTCTTTTTTGTTAGTTTGTTTTTTGAGACAGGGTCTTATGTAATCCTGGCTCTCCTGGAACTCCCTATATAGACCAGGCTGGCCTTGAACTCCAAATCTGTTTCCTGAGTGTTGGAATTCAAGGTGTGTGCTACCATACACAGCTTATTCTGAAGTTCTTGTTGGCTCCTCCCCTCCCCCATAGCATTCATTTAGAAATCAAATACTTAATTAACAAGGCAAAATTTTAGAGAACATTTTAGAACCATTAGAATTTTACTTTGCAAAGTCTTAATGCTTATAAAATTATATTGCTGTCCAGCTCTTTACCCACACAACAGTCCACGTCTGCAGGTGTTTAATGGAGGTAGCCAGCGCCGCCACCTTGACCTCTGCTCTGCTTGTCGGCTTACTCGATGGCCCCGATTTGGGGCTAATGTCTCAAGTTTCACTGTGTGCACGAGGAGCTACATGCTTTCCTGTCTGTGTTATGTCCTTTCAGGTGCAGGACAACTTCCAAAATCATTCCTCAAGCACTGTCCACCCCATTTTAAAGACACAGTCTCTTGGTGGCTTGGAGCTCATTAAATAGGCTAGGCTAGCTGGCTGGAGGGCCCCAGGGATTGGCCTGTCTGCCTCCCTAATACTGGGATTCTAAGCATGTGCCACCACACTTGGCTTTTTAAATATAGGTTCTGGGGATTGAACTCAGGTTCTCACACCTGCAAAGCAAACACTTGACTGACTGAGCTCTCTGACCAGCACCCTTCTGGTTCTCTTTAAGTGAGAATTATTTATGGTAATTTTTGTATTTTCTTTTCCCAAGAGGCACACCTTTTGGTAACCCAGTCTGCTGAAAGTTTGAAACTTATTTCATTTTCTTTTTTAACATTTTTTTAAATTAAAAATAACCTTTAATAAAAATTTTTAGATTTATCTTCATTTTATATGTATAGATAGATGTTTTGCCTACAATTATTCAAGGGCACTATGTGCATGCAGTACTTGAAGAGGCCAGAAGAGGGCAACAGATTCCCACAAACTGGAGTTATGGATGATTGTGAGCTACCATGTAGGTGCTAATGTGAGCTACCTACCATGTGGGTGCTAATGTTCTTTGGAAGAGCAACCAGTACTCTTAACCACTGAATCAGCTCTTTAACCCTATTTATGTCTGCCAGTCTGTTTATCTGTTTGTCTGTCTGTCTGTCTGTCTGTCTGTCTGTCTGAGATAGGGTCTCTGAATATAGAGCACACTGACCTTGAACTCCCAGAAATTAACCTGCCTCTGTCTCCCAAGTGCTGGGGTGAAAGGAATACATCACTACACTTGGCCTAATAGATTTACCTCACTCATATTCCTTTATTGATCTATTAATATAAAGTAATAAATCCTTACAATTATAGTAGTTGTTACTCTAATGTATTTAGAACAATCACAGTTGTTAAAGTTATCCTTCAGGCAACTTATTTTTAAATTTGTCTTGATTTCAGCTATAATTATATACTCATCAATTTTGCAGCCTTTGATATAATTGCTATTTATAGTATATCTCTAATATAACTCTTGAATTTAAAACACAAGAAGTCTAGATGTGGTGATGGTTCATAGATAAGATGCACAGGTAGGGAATTAGAGCTCAGATCCCCAAAATCTAGGTCATCCTAGAGCACCTGCAGTGAAAGGAGAGGGGGAGATGGGAGGGTCTCCCAGCGTGAAGCGGTGAAGAGAAACCCTGCTTCAGACATGGTGGACGGTGAGAACTGGCATCCATGTGCAGTGCTGTGGTGTGTGCATGCCTGAACTCACACATGTACACACAAACAGTGACCATGCATGTACACATATATACATTATAGCACATGCACTCGTAACATATGCACATGTATATATAAAGAACTATCTGACAATTTATATTGAAATTTATTCTAGATCTGTGGAAGAGCTGCAGCTCAAACTTACAAAGGCTAATGAAAATGCAAGTCTTCTGCAGAAAAGTATTGGGGAAGTAACGCTTAAAGCTGAGCAGAGTCAACAGGAAGCAGCCAAAAAACATGAGGAAGAAAAGAGAGAATTGGAGAAAAAATTGTTGGAACTGGTAAGGAGACGCACAGGGGACCGCTGGCGAAGCAGGTAGGCAGTCACCGTGTGGCCAGGCGACTTGTGTGGCCAGGCGACTTAGCCCTTCCTTTGGATTCTGCAGGAAAAGAAGATGGTAACAAGCCACAGCCAGTGTCAGGACCTGAAAGCCAAGTATGAAAAAGCCAGTTCTGAGACTAAAACAAAGCATGAAGAAATCCTGCAGAACCTTCAGAAGATGCTGGTGGACACAGAGGATAAACTTAAGGCTGCTCAGGAAGCGAACAGGGACCTGATGCAGGACATGGAGGAGCTGAAAACCCAGGCCGACAAAGCCAAAGTATGTTCTGGGGCAGAAATAGTGCACTTGTGTTATATTTTAGCTAGGTTCTGCATCAAGACTGCAAGAGAGCTTAGAAGCAAATGTGATCTGTGCATGCATGGCAGAGTGGCAAATTGCATCTGTTGTGGCTTTTAGTGTTTTGTAACAGCTGCTATCCTTGTAGGGGAGGGTCATGGCTACAAGGTCTCTTCCCTAAATGTCCTGTGTAGCCATCACCGCCCCCTGTGCTGCTTGTCCCCAGTGGTTGCAACCTCTTACTGTTGCCTGGCCTCTGTCTGCTTGCTTGCAGTAGATTATCTGTTGGGAAAGCATCTTTCTCTCACCTTGGCTAAGCTACCTTGCACTAGGGTAGTTTAAAGAGACAAATGTCAGAAAGGCAGGAGGCAGAGGCCCAGGGAAGCCAGTGGGCAGTGTTGAAGCTGGAGGGAGCCCAGCCGATGTGGAGAGTCTTATAGGAGGAATTAGAACTCTGAAGGAGCCTTTGACTGTTCCCAGGAAGGCTCTGTGAGTTTGCTGACAAGGAGGGGTTCAAATAAATCAAGAAAATATCTAATTAGTTGAAAATAGTTAGAGCCTGGAATTTCAATTTATGGGTCAGGATCATATCTAAACTCCAGTATGTTCTTTGACTTTGGTAACTTAGTAAAGTTTACCTTTCCCATAACTTTTTTATTGCTCAGAAATTTTTTGTCTTACATGTTTATTTTTAATGCATTAGAGAAATGTTTGTATACAAGTTAACAAAAAAGTTATGAAAGAGAAACTGAAACTATTAAAAACTTATTGTTAAGGCTAGGGATCTGCCTTGGTTGTAGAGTGCCCACCTTCCATGCCCTAGTATCAAATTCCAGGAACCAAAAAGAACAGCAACACACACCCCACACTATCTCCGGTTAGTTAGGAGGACCATAATATAATACATGTGAAGTGTAAGGGGTATAGTTTTTCCTCTTCTACATGCTATCAGAGCTTTCTCCTGTGCTCTCTTCTCAAAACTTTTCCCAGCTTGATACACCATTTAATGGTGGCTAAGATTCCCATATTTGATATCACCTGTGTGGTCTCCTGGGTCTTGAAATCCTTCAGTTTTGTAGACTACACCACAGCATTCTAGAAGCTTGTGTGAAGCTGCACTGACTTTGGTGGTTTTATATAAAAATCTTTTAGTTAAAATACTAGGATTATTCCACTTCCAAATTTGTCATCTGATGACAAACTCTGAAGACTCTGATGAGACCTAAGGGTGTCACCTCAAACAAGTTTATGTATGCAGCCAATACACTTTATACATCACTTCAGGAGGCCACAGAGCCAGTGAGCCAGTGACCCAAAATTCTGCTATCTATTCCAGAAGCCACTGGTTAGATGAGGCTGTGGAAAGTTAAGTTTGCACAGATTCGAATTCAGCTCTCTAGGAGCACATGTCTGCCATGCAGAGGAGGATGAATAACTTGCTAACATTTATTTCATCACAGAAAACTCTGGGTAGTGCCGATATAGACATCATTAATTTATCATACAGATTAGTACATTAAAAAAAAAACACTTCATTTAGCCAGCAAGGCCTTGAAATTAGTCTGCATCTGAGTAACATGTCTGTGACACTGGGACTCACACTCTTAGCCTGCTGACCATCCTTCCTGCTAAGTAAGGGCTTAAACACCGATAGCCTTCCCTTGCTACTCGTCCTTCTGATAGAATGTACCCACCTATTAAAATATGCCCATATTGGGGGGTTTTGCCCCAACATCATTTTGAAATCTGTGAATCTTTTTTAAGATGGAAATAACCTGACAATTAGAAGAATAAGAAAGAGACTCATTCCTAATGTGAAACCCAAGGATGTTTCTAGAAACGATTTCACACATTGTTTCAAAGAGAAGAAGCTAATAGGCACTTTGCAATGTTCATTTTGCTTTGTCCTGTTCCTTTATGGACTACTTCTCCAGATTTTGCCCCTTTATTATTCAAGTGGTTTTTATGAAGCTTATTGTAGGAAATCCTAAACTTGCATGGTTTAGGCCGTATTAAGTTATTTGGGCTTGCATTTGTCTGCTTGATTTCATTTTGTTCCCATTCTTTCCATCTTTTGTCCCTGTAGTCGCTAACTTATTTGTTAACATCAGCCAAAAAAGAGATTGAAGTGATGTCAGAAGAGCTGAGGGATATGAAGTCAGAGAAGCAGCTCTTTGCCCAGGAGGCAAATGCTTTAAAGTTAGAGAAAGGTTCTCTTTTATCAAAGCTTATAGAAGTGGAGACCAAGGTCACTTTGCTTCAGGAAGACCAACAGAAACTGTGGTCAGTAAACGAAACCCTCCATTTAGAAAAAGAGAGAGTCTCAGAAGAAAAGCAGGTTGCTGAAAAGCGTTATCAGCAGGAGCATCGGGATCGAGAGTCTCTGGTGGCTGAGAGAGAGAAACTGCTGAAGGAGATCAATGCTGCCCAGGAAGAGCTCCTGAAGATGCACATGGAGAACGACTCCCTGGAAGCCTCCAAGGTGAGCATGCAGGTGCTCATTGAGGAGCTCCGCTTCTGTAAGGATAAGCTGATGGCCATGTCGGAGAAGGCCCGCACGGAGAAAGAGCACCTGGAGGGGCAGGTCAAGAAGCTCACCGCCGAGAACATGGTCTTGGTCAAAGACAAGGATGACGTCATTCAGAAACTTCAGAGCGCTTATGAGGAGCTTGTCAAGGACCAGAAGGCCTTGGTCCAAGAGATCGAGGACCTCACGACCGAGAAGAAGTCAGCAGCAGAGAAGCAGATGAGCCTCGACAACACCTGTCTCACCCTAAAGGCAGAGCGGGAGAACCTTCTCCAGAGCAACAGAGACCTGCAGTTTGAGAAGGACACACTGCGCCAGGGCCAGGAGAAGCTGAGTGCCAGCCTGGAGGCCACCCTGCAGGTCAAACAGCTGCTTAGCACAGAGGCAGAGACCCTGCGCACACAGCTGGACTGTGCCAGCAAAGCGCTGAGGAAGGCGGAGCTGGACATCAGACAGCTCCAGAGCTCTAACGCCAGCCTCACAAAGCTCCTGGAGGAGATCAAGACCTGCCGGGCCATCACGGACTCTGAGTGCATCCAGCTTCTCCATGAGAAGGAGAGCTTGGCAGCCTCTGAGAGGACGCTCCTGGCGGAGAAAGAGGAACTGCTAAGTGAAAATAGAGTCATCACTGAAAAACTCAACAAACACTCAGAAGAGGTGGCACGTCTCGAGATGGGCCTGAATGAGAAGATCACGTACTTAACTTCTGAGAAGGAGATGGCTTGCCAGAAAGTCGCCAGGCTGAAAAAGCAGCAGGATAGTCTCTTGAAAGAAAAATCAGCCCTGGAGATGCAAAATGGAGATCTACTTGCTGACAGGGAAAGTTCTCTCAAGACCATAGGAGATCTGAAAAGGAAGTGCGACCAAGAGGCTGCAAACAGACGGGTGGCTGTGCAGGAGAAGATGAAACTGCTCGGTAACATTGATGCTCTGAAGAAGGAGCTTCAGGAAAGAAAGAAGGAGAACCAGGAGCTGACGAGCAGCAAGTGCGACCTCTCCCTGATGCTGAAAGAGGCTCAGAATGCCAAAAAGACTCTTGAAAAAGAGCACAGCAGCATGCTGCAGGCAAAGGAGAGCCTGAACGCCGAGCTGAAGACCTGCTGCTGCGAGAAGAACTTGCTGCTGAGAGACGGCCTGAGCCTGCAGGAGGAGTGCCAGAAGCTCAACGAGGAGATCCGAGGCATGCAGCAGACGCTGATCCTGGAGAAGGAGGCCAGGGCCAAGGAGAGCGAGACCTCTTTATACGAAAACAACAAGCTTCATGGGAGAATAGTGCTCTTGGAGGAAGAGGTCCAGGGGCTGAGGGTGTGCAGTGAGCAGCTCCAGACTGAGAATTTTACACTTACCCAAGAGAAGACCAACTCAGAGCAGAGAGTCGTGGAGATCATTAAGGAAAAGGAACTCCTGAGCGCAGAGACTTCGCAGCTCGCAGCCAACATCGAGACCCTCAAGAGTGACTTTGCTGCCCTTTCCAAGTCCAAGTTGGAATTGCAAGAACTACACAGCTGCCTCACCAAGATCCTGGATGACCTCCGGCTGAACCATGAGGTGGCTGTGACCGAGAGGGCCGAGGTGCTTCAGGACAACAAGAACCTCCTGGCTGAGAAACGAGAGATGATGCTGAGAAATGAAGAGGCGCTGAAGGAGAAGGAGAAGCTGGAAGAAAGCTACTTCATCCTCCAGAAAGAGATTAGCCAGCTGGCCCAAACCAACAGCCACATTTCAGCCAACCTCCTAGAATCCCAAAGCGAAAACCGGACTTTGAGGAAAGACAAGAGCAAGCTTACCCTTAAAATTAGAGAGCTTGAGACCCTTCATTCGTTCACGGTAAAGTGAGAGGTTCGAGTCCTGAGCACCCAGAGTCCTCACTAACTGTGCACTAACATTAGTGGCTTAGGTGATTTCTCTTCATTGCAACCTAGGGAAATCTACCTGATTAAGCCAGCTGTGGTGTGTGTGTGTTGTGTATATGTGTGTGTGTGGTGTGTGTCCATGACAGTATCCATATCCAGCTTTTCATTATAACCAAAGAGGTTGATTCAGTATTGAATGTCTAATGGTAGTAATCCCTTCTCATTTCAAAACACTGTGAGAACTGTGAATAAAAAAGCTTTTTTTTTTTTTTAAATTTATGGAGAAACTTCGATACCTGTAAAGTTAACTGTTGCCTGGAGGTTTCAGAGCGGCATTAGAGTATGCACAGTGGACACACTGAAATTCCGTCTCCTGTGTTATCTCATTCATCGAGCCTGTCCCTCTGGAGGTGGAAGATCCCACGGGATCTCCATGGCTGATAGCAGAACGTGTATAATACCAAATTCTCATGAACATTATCAAGCCCATAGTCACATTTCTTAGTCATATGATTATTTTTGATAATTAGTAGCAAAGAATTTATATTAGTATATATATATCTTTTTTATTCACAGTTATATTTATTACTCCCTTTCTCTCAAAGTTTTTTCCATTCAGCACCTCTCATGAAACACTTGAGCCTCATGCTATAATTGCCCAAATAATTTATAATCGTGTAAAAAATTCTTAGCTTAAATTGAGTGACTTCAAATCCCCAAACTGAGATAGCCAGGCAAGTACTGGTGGTACTTATACCAGTAAATGTAAGAGCCATTCAGTTATACAGGGCCGTTGTAGTAAATTTAAGAGCCGTTCAGTTATATAGGGTCACTGGTTTGCATCATCACCAGCTAGTCTGTCACAATGATGAGCACATGCTTGTCAGTGGAACTTGGAACTTGGATGGAGGTTTAGAGGGAGGAGAGAATGTGGAAATGGTTCAGAGTTGACGTCATGAAAAATGCCATGGGAAGGGCCTGTCCCCTTGAACTCCTCCACAGTATAGACCCTTCATGGCCTGCTTTGTGTACTCTGGGGTTGGGTTGGTAACTCTCATCCTACGTGTGCACTGCTTAGCCACACAGACTCTGAGAGCACCCTCAGCCATGCATTCTGAGTTCCCCGGATGGTTCCTGTTCTGTCTCCTCACTGTCTCTCCTTGTGCTTAGGCTGCTCAGACCGCAGAAGACGCCATGCAGATCATGGAACAGATGACCAAAGAGAAAACAGAAACACTGGCCTCCTTGGAGGACACCAAGCAAACAAATGCAAAACTACAGAGTGAAGTAATCAGATTTAAGTTTTTTTGTGTGTTTGTCTGTTCAAAGCTTGCCCGACTTCATGGAATGTTTAGTCACTTAACTCAGGAGTAGTCTTTTTGAAGTCTGGACTTAAAAAGGTTTGATCTACGTTAGACCTGAATGCCATATGATGACACTGGGTGTGGTGATGCATGCCATAAACCCAGTCCTTGGGCCATGGCAGTGGGAGAATTAGGAATTCATGGCTGGTCTGGGCTATATGAGATCCTATAAACAAACGAACAAGCCGAAGGATGAAGAGGAAGCCCTAGTAGTGAGGTGTTCTTAGGTAACTCCTTAGTGACGGCTCTGTGTGAGTTTTATATCCTTCCTTCTTATCCTACAGTCTCCCCTTCAACTTTCTTCTAATTTGGAGCTACCAAATTCCATCTCCCCGACCCGTGTGCAGGCTTTTTCTTAGCTTGGTTCAGTATTACATCCTTTCGTGTCGTCTTGAATGAGCCTCATTTCTGGGGCTGGAACAGATTTGTGGCATCAGGTTATTTCTTTTCTGTCTACACGTAGCATTTCCCTCAGACCTTGCTCTGACACCCTGTTCCCATCTTCCCAGCTCACAGAGATCCTTCCTGAAAAGCTGCTAGCTGAAGTGGGATGTGAAGTTCTAGATAACTTTGAGGCACTTTTTAAAGTCACAGGCAAGTAAGACGTTCAGAACGTAGTACAAAGGAAGGGACTGCCAGGTGGAAAAGCTGCGTGAAGACTAGGGCCCCTCACGCAAGGCTGAAGATCAAGATCTTCCAAAATGTACATTTTGAGGTAATTAGGGTAAATAAAATTTACAGAGAGTACACTCAGATTTTTAAGATTTTCCTGGCCAGGTGGTGGTGGCGCACGCCTTTAATCCCAGCACTTGGGAGGCAGAGGCAGGCGGATTTCTGAGTTCGAGGCCAGCCTGGTCTACAGAGTGAGTTCCAGGACAGCCAGGGCTATACAGAGAAACCCTGTCTCGAAAAACAAACAAACAAACAAAACAAAACAACAAAAAATATTTTCCTGGAGGATGGGATCAAGCAGAATTGTGTCTATAAGAGATAAGAGTATAAAGCCCAGGTTTGCTAGCCTGGCTCCAGAATTACACCTTGAATGGTGGGCAAATGGAACATGCTCCAGCCACCAACCAGCCAGAGCTCCTGAGCAGTCACCTTCTATTCGTGCAATGCCTGACTTTGCCACTAGAGGGCAGGCGTTAAGAGGGCTGCTGGACAGTGTTGGGAGGAATGTGTGAGGACCCTTCACTCTCACTGCATGGCTGCTTCTTCCTAGAAATGACAGATGGATTAACAATTTCCCCCCAATTGACAAATGGTTGATTCAAATAACTAAGCCTTAGAAGTGACCTTGGAAATGTCATCTGCTGTATTACTGATCAGTGAGGAGAGAAAGGGTTTAGTCTGATTGCAGAGACTGATCCTTGATAAGTTGATATTTGACAATCTAGTTCTTGACCTGTAAAGATGGGCTGTTTTGAAGGGCAACCTCAGGTGAAAATCTAAGAATGTTACAAAAAAAAATAACAAAGCCAGACATGGTGTACACTGATGGCCCCAGGCTGGGGAGGGGGCAAGGTAACCAACCAAACAAAAGCACACAGGACTAAAGAAAGCTTCTGTCTGCACACACACTAGCAGTTCAGGTTGGCATCCTGACCATCTGTACAGGAAATGAAGACTGAAAGAGAAGGAGATACGCAGTTCATAATCAACTCGTCATTTGTAGTCTCTCTCCCTGACGACTCTCCCTGCTGCTTACAAATGACTAATGTCATCTATTTTTAAAGACATATTTTTGTGAATAATTTATCCAGCTATGTCACTGAAAAATGAAATAATTTCATCCATTTTTCCCTCTTGGTCTTTAAGTTGGACACACTTAAGGAAAACAACTTGAGAACTGTGGAAGAGCTGAGTAAGTCAAAGGAGCTTCTGAATGCCGAGAACCAGAAAATGGAAGAATTCAAGAAAGAAATGTGAGTTTATCTCTCTTGAGGGGAATTATAAGTTTTAAAAGGAGACCAATATCTGAAAAGATTAGAAAATAGTTATCTATCAGTCTCCTAAAATGCATTCCCCACAGCGAATTCAGGAGCCACCCTGACAACCACAGCTAAGTAGAAGATCTGGTAACTAGGCTAGCTGCTGAAGTAAGAAACGTGGAGTTCACTGTGACTTCATAAAGCTATGTAAATATATGGCTGGTTATGTACCAGAGTTAAACTTGAATGTTTACGTGATAGCTGGTCATAACATGTAGAACTACAGAACCTTTTATTAATAAATACTTCAAGAGCTGGACGTGATGGTGCATGCCGTTAATTCCAGCACTTGGGAGGCCGAGGCAGGTAGATGGATCTCTGTGAGTTCAAGGCCAGCCTGGTTTACCTATCAAGTTCCAGGACAGCTAGGGCTACACAGAGAGACCCTGTATCAAAAATAATTAGCCAAAAATATCAAAATGAATCCTCTGAAACTTTTTTTTAACAGAAAAAGAGTCAGACATGGGGGCACGTGCATATAATCCCAAGTACTTGAAAGTCTCAGACAGGACAATTAATGTGAATTGGAGGCCAGCCTCTACTGGGCTACATAGTAAATTCCAGGCTAGCCCAGGGTATAGCTCCATTTATCAGATGCTTACTGGGCAAAACTGAGAACTTGAGTTGAAATCCCAAGCACCTTCATAAAAAGCTGAATATGGTGGTGTATATTGATATAAAAAGCTGATTATGTTGGTGTATATTGATATAAAAAGCTGAATATGGTGGTGTATATTGATATAAAAAGCTGAATATGGTGGTATATATTGATCACTACAGTGCTTCGGGCAGAGACAGGACGACTCCTGGAGTCTGCTGAGCATCTAATGTAACTGAAATGGTGAGCTCCAGGTTCAGGAGAGACCCTGTCTCCAAAAATAAAGCAGAGAGTGACTGAGGAAGATACCCAGTGTCCACTCTTGCCTCCATCCACACGTGCACACATACGCACATACATGCTTGTATGTATTCATACACATAGATAAGAACATACATACCAAACACAGGAAACCAACATTTTGATTACATTCAGAGAGGGTGAACTCAGGAACAGCTTAAGCAATTGTTTTCCTCTCTGACACAAACAGTTATGCTACCTGGATGTGGGACGCTGAGGTGACTTTAGATCATTTGTGTCACAGGTCTCCCATTGCTATAGCGTTACTCCTGAGCTCTCTGGGCACATTAGGTACTGGGGAGTGGACGGGGTGTGGTGGTGGGGCAGAGCCACACTGGATATAACCAGGAGAGCCCTTATGTTTAGATAGCATTCTCATTCCACACTGATTACATAGGACTCGTTCTTCACAAGCCTGCCCACTAAATGTGTCCTCACTTAGTCACATCCCATCACCCTTCCCAGTCGGTGCAGGATTAGTGCCATACCCATAAAGAGACCAACTCTGGCTCAGTGCAGTTGTAAGTACGTGCTTAGCATGTGTGAGGTGCTGAGTCTGAAGCGGGAGTGGGGAGAGGTTGTCTTAGAGCTGGCTGTGGTGGTGCATGCTTGTAATCCCTGAGATCAGGAGACAAGCAGGAAGATTAGTAAACTCCAGGTCAGCTGCTGCTGCCTGGTGAGGACCTGTCTCACCCCGCCCCCAGTTGTCTTTGTGCCCTGCCTCATGCCTGTGGAAGGGGTGGGAGTAGGAGACAGTGGTGTCAGTTACTGTCATAGCCACGGGGCCTGTCTTCTGATACTTCCCTGAGGGAAGTTGTTGAAAAGACAGAGAAGCAGGCCCTGTGCCAGGGCTGCTTTAGAGTCTTTCTGCCCACCAGGCCTGAGGAAATTCCCTCTTCCTGTCAGTGACAAGGCACCCCATGGCTAGATTGTAACTTTGCATAGAAACTGGTGGAAGAAGGCCTGGAGGGTTGGTGAAAAGCCCTGGCCTGTGACTCTCTGCCCTAGTCTTGGCCACACTTCAAGGCAAGGATGTCTGCTTTCAAAGGGCTGTGTGTTGGAATGGTACTTCCTGGGTTGTTGTGCATTCCTGAGTTGCATTCTTCAGTGCCAAAAGCTAAAGCATGAACAGCTGCTTGTGTGTGTGTCTGTGTGAGTCTCTGTGTGTGTGTCTGTGTGTCTGACTGTGTGTCTGTGTGTGTGTCTGTGTAAGTCTGTGTGTGTGTGTGTGTCTGTGTAAGTCTGTGTGTGTGTCTGTGTGTGAGTCTGTGTGTGTATGTGTGAGTCTGTGTGTGTGAGTCTGTGTGTGTGTGTCTGTGTGTGTCTGACTGAGTCTGTGTGTGTGTCTGTGTAAGTCTGTGTGTGTGTGTGTGTCTGACTGTGTGTCTGACTGTGTGTCTGTGTGTGTGTGTGTGTGTGTGTGTATGTGTGTGTGTCTGTGTGTGTGAGTCTGTGTGTGTGTCTGTGTAAGTCTGTGTGTGTGTGTGTCTGACTGTGTGTCTGTGTGTGTGTCTGTGTAAGTCTGTGTGTGTGTGTGTGTCTGTGTGAGTCTGTGTGTATGTGTGTGTGTGTGTATGTGTGTGTGTGTGTGTGTGTGTGTGTGTGTGTGATAGGCATACAGCGGTAGTCATGCTCTCCAGAGCTGTGGTGTTTGTCCTTACCTAATAGAATGATGCCACCTAGAGAAACAGTGGAACCAGAGGAGCTGCACTGTCCTGACGGAGCTCCCTTTCATGACCTCTGCTCTTACAGCTGGAAACCAGCATTTGTGATGGAATGTTCTTTAACTCCATGCTCCCTACTGGAGTCATTTCAAGAGAGCCCTTGATTTGGATTAGCCAGCTCCTAATTTCAGCTGGAGAGCCACAATGAAGCGGCTTCCCATTGCCCTGTGACTCTCTATCTTAGAAGAACTGACAGAACAGTCCAATTTTTCTGGACTACATTTAACTTAGTAAATTTGTGAGTAAAATGTAAGTCAATATCAGCAATGTTTATTCTGTCTCTCATTTTTAAGCTAGGGAATATTTTCTGTTTTACGATCTCTTGTCCTGTAAAGAGAAAAGCAGCTTGACAATGGTGTGAACGGCTGGGGAATGGCTGGGCTGGTAAATGCATGTCATGCAAGCATAAGGACTTGACTTCGGACCCCGAGCACCCTGTAAAGGCCTAGGGGACCTGTGGTGCCGGTGCTGGGGAGGGCACAAGAGAAGAGACCTCGTTGGTGTTGGTCTAGCAGATCCTGGAGTTCAGCCTCAGTAAGAGAACTTGTCTCATCGAGTAAGGTGGAAAGTGCTCGAAGGCGACGTCTAGTGCAGGCCTTGGGCCTTCCCTGTGTAGGCACACACTTGCATATGTGCCCACAAACGAACTCACACTCATACACTCATACAGTTGTTAGAAATGTTTGTTTCTTGTATTTGAGATGGAACCCAGCTCCGTGAACTCAGTTCTTTTCCTTTACCTTTTCATGAGTTCTGGGGATCGAACCCCGAGTCACCAGGCTTGCATGGCAAGTGCTTCACCTGCTGAGCCCCAGTGGCCGTGTTTTTGATTTCTTTTTCTTTTTTTTTTTTTAAACTGAGGTAATTCTTTAGTTGGTGTTACTAAGCAAGCACTAAATCACTGATCCATACCTCCAGCTCAAAGTATGTTCTTTTTTTTTTTCGTTTGTCTGTTTTGTGTTTGCTCTTTTGAACAAACTCTCCAGCCATGGGTATCCTAGATCTTGCTGTGTAGACCAGGCTTGCAGAGATTCACCGACTTCAGCCTCCTGAGTGCTGAGGTTAAAGACGCTTGCTACTACACATGGCTTCACTATATCTTCTTTAAACCAGCATTTTCAAAACTAATACCTAAACTTTTTATATATGTGATGAAAGAAAATATTTTTAAAGAAGCAGAAGAGGAGCATAAACGCCACTGCTGACTGGCTGGATGTGGTGGCATACACTGTAATCCTAGCACACCAGAGGCCAAGGCAGGAAGAGTTCAAGTTCAAGGCCAGGTTTCAAAACATAGCAAGACCTTGTATTACTGAACAAAAGTGTTCCTATGAAGGCAGTGACAACCTGAGAAATACTATATTTAGTTTATGATGGTTTCATTGTAAGAAAAATCTTCTGATTTGTCAAAAGTTAATGGACTTTAGCCAGTCAAAGCAACTTGGGGAAGAAAGGGTTTATTTGGCTTATAGGTCACAGTCCATAAGGAAAGCCAGAGTAGGAACCCTCGGCAGGAACCAGAACAGACAGCAATGAGGGACACTGCTTACTGGCTCACTCTCAAACTCATGCTTAGCTCTCTTGTCCAGGCTGGGTTCTCCCACTCAGAGATGATGTTGCCCAGGGTAGGCTGGGAACTTCCCCATCAATCAACAGTTAATAAAATGCCCAGTAGACACGTCTACAGGCCAGTCTGATGAAGGCAGTTCTTCAGTTGAGCTCCCTTCCTGGGCATATCTAGGTTTGTGTCAAGTTGGCAGAAATTGATGATCTCTATGTGTGCGTAGGTAGGTAGGTCGACGGGTCTACAGTTAAAATCATTGCCTTCAGGTCTCGCTCAGTTTTCCTGTACTTACTAAATACTCATCTCTGTAAAAAGTCTAATTCAGTGTGCTAAGAGAGTTCTTGTTTAGATTTATTTCCCTAAGTCTTCATGAGGTCATCATAGAGTATGTTATAGGTAGGCGGAGGATTAAAAATTGAGAAAATCGAATATGCCAAGCACTGCCACCCATTAGACAATTGAAGTTAAAAATAGATGTGTTCATGCATTGACAGATGGAGTCCTACCCAGATGACTGGATGCAGAATCCAGCCACATATGACAGCTTGCTAAGGAGAGTTTACCATCATAGACGAACTTAAAATTCAAAATTGCTTCAAAACCTTCCACAGTATGAAACTAGAATCTAGTGATTAAGAAAAATATTTAGAATAGCCATATGTAAATGGTAATAGTTCAGAATGTATATTTGGTTAATCTTTTAAAGTTTATTTATTATTATTTTTCACACTAATTTATTTATTCACTCCACATCCCAGTTGCTGCCCCACCTCCTCCTGGTAACCCCCTTCACACAGTTACTTCCCTACCCCCTGGATTAATTTTAATAATAAGAAAATATCTAATAAATATATCTACCTTATTGTTTATATTGGCATTTATGATGCTGGTTAGGTGGCAAGCTGTGTTATATGTTTATTTGCTTTTAATTAGAAATTAGTATTGTAGAAAGAATACCATCAACTATCTCCTATTTACTTTGGAAAAAATTCCTTTGGGCCTTTCACTTCCCATTGTGCTAAAAATATACTCAGATTCACAATAGCACCTGACTCTGCATGGATCACTGGGTTTTTATTTCATCAAGAGAAAGATAGATTAAAAGATTTATGTATGCCTCTAGAACAAAGTGCTTTGGTAGCAAATTAAATCACCATCGCCATAGTGGTGTTTGGTATAATTATCTTAACAAATTTCCCTATCCATGAAGGCTATACTGACCATGACATTTGTCATCTATTTCACAGAAAAATTTGCTTTTGAGTGGGGTGTGGGTGGTAATAGGGTAGAGATAGTGTTTATTGGGTATTTTAAAATGTCATAATTGTGGACAGCCAATCTCTTTCTGAGAGGTTAAAACGCGTGCCCTCTCCTTCATGCAGCTAGCGCGGTCTCTGGTTGTTATAGATCTTATCGGGCACGTGACCCAGATCTATTTTCCTCAGTGCTGTGAAGCTGTTGTCTCCCACAGTTTCCTTGCTTGTCTTGTTTCTATGGTAACCCTGTGCTCACTGTCCTTACAGAGAAACCCTAAAGCAGGCAGCAGCTCAGAAGTCCCAGCAGCTTTCAGCACTGCAAGAAGAGAACATCAAACTTGCTGAGGAGCTGGGGAGAACGCGGGACGAAGTCACAAGTCATCAAAAGGTCAGTGGCCCTCCCGTGGGGGCTCTGAGATCAGGGGTGCTGGGATCTCCTGTTCTACTCAGACCTGCTCTGGACGACGAAGTCGTTTCCCATGAGGTGCTCATTTGTTTCTTTGCTTCCAGGGATGCACACTGCTATAGAACGTAGGGTTGGAGTGAATTCCCATCCTACTCTCACGTCACACACACTAGCAGCACAGCACCAGACCTCACAAGCAGCTAGAAGCGCTCTTATTCCGTCAATACTCTCCCAGCAGTGCATTTAAACGAGAAGAGCCAAACAGTATCTTCTCCCTTCCACAGCTTTGAGTCCAAGATTATTTTCCTCTTAAGATTTTTTTCCTCTTTCACTGAAGTTGGTCTTCAGGATATGGATTCTAAGCTTACGGTTTTGTGTGAGGGTTACGAGTTGATTCTGACCTATGACTCCCTTTAAATTTAAAGACATAGCATTTTGCCAACAGACTTGTGAACGTGTGTGTGTGTGTGTGTGTGTGTGTGTGTGTGTGTGCGTTGATTTGTGGAAGGAATGTGGGTTCTAAAGAAAGTGCATCACAGCCTGCTTGCTGAGATATGTGTCACAGACTTCTCTGACAGAAACTATCCTTAAACGGGAACAGAACGGATTGTAAATGGGTACTTTCCTAACACCTGAGTCTAAATGTTGCTCACATCTGACCCCTGAGCAGCTGCTGGCCTTTTTAGCAGTTTATGCTTGCTTTGCACTGCGAAGGAGAAGCTCTATTGCCTGCTGCATGCACCAGCTGTGCCTAGCGAGTAATTTAAAGTCTCAGTACTTGATCTCCATTAAGATGGAGCAGTTTGTGGTGAAAACACCGGGGGTTTGTTGTTGTTGTTGTTGTTTTGGGGCAGGATATCACTGATTGCCTGATACTCAGCCTATAGTAGAGGCCAGCCTCAAACTCCCAGCAGTCTTCCTGCTGCCACCTCCCAAGTTCTACGGAAGTCACCATGTCCAGAGTTTTTGGAGACTTTGATTTTTATTGTAGTTTCCCTCCCTTCCTCATGTCATAGAGGAAATGCAGCCTCCCAGCTCCGACTGGTGCTGGCACCCAGAGATGACAGTGGCGATCTGTCCCCGCCACACTTCTGTGTGACAGCACTCCTGACTCTGTGGCAGAAGATGGAAGCACAGAGAAGCTAGTAATTTGTTCAGCATCCTCTGGTGACAGTGTCCCAACATTTGTCATGTTGCTTGGGCTTGGGACAGAATCAAAGCGAGTTGACATAAGCAAGGATGCTGCAGTCTCCTCTGATCAGCTTGGGAGAAATTTGAGTTCATGAGAAACAGAAGCCGAGGAAGAATTTTCTTTCTGATGTAGCTGGAATGTCTGCAGCATCTGGGATGTTGATCCAGGGTGGCACGAGGCCCAGAAGAGTCAAGTGCTCAGTCTGTCGCAACTGGCTTTTCTTTTGTCTTGTTTTCCTAGTTCTTTGAATATCTCTGGTGGAGATTGTGGACTCCATCTGCAGGATAAGCAAGGAGGTTGTACTGTCCTCTTGTGCTGTGATCTCAACTGGACTAATTATATTCCTTATGTCTTACTCAGAGCTTGAAGGGACTGAGGAGACCTCCTGACTTGGCCCAGCTGTTCAAAGCTCTTCTCTATCTGAGCAGCTCTTCCTTAGCTGTCTACGGAAAGGCTTTGTGCTTAAGGCTTCAAATAGGCATTTTGCTGGGTGTTAGAAAATAGAAGCTACTACTCTGACAGCGTCTTCCTTGTAAAACATGGGAACTGGGATGGTGACGTGAGCCTATAATCCCAGCACATGGGGATGGAAGCATGAGGGTCAGGAGTTGTAGGCCAGCCTTGGCTACACAGTTAGTTTGAGACCACACAGGCCTACAATGGCCAGTTCAATGCTAAAGTAGACTATATAAGAGACCTTGCCTTTTAAACAAACAACCAAAAAGTTGCTTCTTATGTCACTTTTAGGTCATTGTTATTTGTATTTTATTTAGAAAACACAAGTAAATATCAACATGATAGTTTTGGTGATGGACAACCTCCCCTTTTTTTTCTTTAAACTGGGGATCAAACCTAGGGCCTTATACGTGTAAGACAAGTGCTATACCAACTGAACTATATTCCCAGCCCTGATTATGGAGATTGAGATTATTAAAAGTGATACTAGCCAGGAAGTGGTGGCTTGCACCTTTAATCCCAGCACTTGGGAGGCAGAGGCAGGTGGATTTCTGAGTTCAAGGCCAGCCTGGTCTACAGAGTGAGTTCCAGGACAGCCAGGGCTACACAGAGAAACACTATCTCAGAGAAAGAGAGAGAGAGAGAGAACGAACAAATTTTAAAGACTTGTCTGACTCTGGCCCTTACTGTGTTATTTTTCTGAACCTATAATGCTAACTGTTTCTGTAGAATTATGACTTTTCATTTCCTAGAGTTAAGTGAACTTTTTTTAAGTGTTGAGGATAACATCTAGAACTTTTTGCATTAGTCAAGCCTCTGTTAGAAATGTAATATAAATGAACTAGGGCTGTAGGTAGAATGTTGCCTGGCATGCCTGAGGTCTCGAGTTTAGTCTCTAGTACCACAAAAGCAAGACGGAGAGAGAGGAACTATATGGCAGAGCTACAATGTTTGGCAGACACGCCGTTTTTAAACTAAAGAACTTCAGTTGTATTGCTATATTTAGTGTTTCCTTCTAAAATTAAAGTAGCAAAAACTAGGCTGATCGGGTTAGGTAAATTCTGACCCCGGCCTGCGTTGCTTTACTTTGCAATATTGTTACTCTTTGGGCGTTCACTGACCCCGGCCTGGCTCTACTTTGCAATATTGTTACTCTTTGGGCATTCACTGACAAGCCTCATCGCTGCTTTTGTGCAGTCCTGACCTTCCTCTGAGACCGAAAGTCTTACAGATGAGGAAGCAGAGGCTCCTAGAGACAGGCTGAGGGCTTCCTACTGAGATGAGAACAGTGGCCGCCTTAGTGCCCGTTCCCTGCTGCTGCCCTGCTCAGGATGACACTTCTTCACGTATTTAGTAGCCACTGTTTTACAGAAACAAAACTGTGAGCCAGAAATGTCGGGTAGCAGGGCCAACAGCACAGTACAAATGTATTTGTTGGCTGTGGGTGCTGCTCAGTGGTAAAGTGCACATCTCCAGTGCAAGAGGCTCTGGGTTCAAGCCCAGCGCCCGTACGCCCGGGTGTGTATGCGGGGGTGTGTACTCTGAACTCTGCTGGCATTTTTGTTTTTGTTTTTGTTTTTGTTTTACCTATTTCAAATGTTTATTTGCTTATAAATCCCAAGACATCCCAAAATATGTCTGCATCCCAAGGTCCTTCCTGGATTCCCTGGGAAGGAAGCGTACTTCTCTGGGAAGCCTCCTTTATTTGAGGACTACTCACTTCCTGCTTGTCCTTTTTACATTCCCAGGATGAATCATTGTCGGAATTTTTAAACCAAATTCTCAAGAGGCTTCAAAACAAGGCTGCTTTGAATTAGAGGAGTCCCTGGCTCCTGGACAGTGGTTTTGTAGAACATTTCCTTTTTATTCTCTTAAAAAATAAAAGGCAGTGAAGAGATTCTGAAGCTGGGGACAGTGGTGCCTGCTTATGAACCTAGCACTGGAGAGGTGGAGGCAGGAGGATCAGGAACTTAAGTCACCCTCCCATAATTAGTGAGTTTAAGGCCAGTGTGGGCTCCCTGAGACTCTGTCTCACGAAACCAGGAAGTGGTAGGGAGCAATGGTGGAAGAAGAGGCTAGTGAGCGGGGACTTGACTGGCGTGGGTGTGGAGTGGAGCTAGGAGTCCTGTTTGCTATGCTTGCCGTGAGGCTGCAAATGTCCTGCTCCAGAGGTGTGAACCTAACAGCTGGAAGGTTACTATGCTTGTCTACAATCCTCTGGAAAGAAGCCGGCTTGGTCAGAAGTAGAGTCTCCAACCCTGTCTGTAGCTTGCTTTGCCAGTGCTATTAGTTTTCCTCACCTAAAATTCTTACATAAAAAGGGGAGGGGCTAAAGTAATGGCCCAGCAGTTTAGAGCACTGGTTGCTCTATTCCCAGTGCCCACATAGTGGCTCACAACTCTCCATAGCTCCAGATCCTGGGGATCTGATGCCCTCTTCTAACCTCTGTGTGCATCAGGTGCTAGTGTGGTACATAGACTACGTGCAGATAAAACACTCACATATATAAAATAAAATAAATCATAAATTTAAAAATATTACATTTATTTATTATTTATCTGTGTAGATTCATACATGCCATCGTGCCCATGTAGATCAAAGGACAATTTGAGAGAGTCAGTTACCTTCTCTCATCTGTTATATGGCTTGGTAGCAAATGCCTTTACCCACTGAGCCATCTTCCCAACTCTAAAGTTCTTCCTTGAGTCTTTGGGGTTTTTCATTTTAAGTGAGACGAGGGACAACAGCTGGGATCACTTAGGACTGTGACTGGCCCTAGGGTTTATCTGGCATCCGTATGCAAAGAACATTATCTCTTAAGCTTTTAAAATTATTATTATTGTGTGCATAAAACATTATTGTATGTGCATGTGTTTGTGTGTAGGATGTGTTTATGTGACTGCAATTGTGTATTCCATGTCACATTTGGGGACCAGAGGACAACTCTATGGTTGATTCTTTCTTTGCACCTTTATGAGGACTCCAAGGATGAAACCTAGGTTGCCAGCCTTGTTCAGCAAGCCCCTTCACCCTCTGAGCCATCCATCCCACCAGCCCTGCATGGTCTTTTAAAAGAGAGTGTGTTAGAACCAAGTGAAATTGTTTCATTTAGCAATCTTGACAGGAGACATGACTCAGAAGTTATGACTGTTGGTGCAAGAGCATAGACTGTTTGTGCTCACAGCAAGCTTTCTGCCTGATTCCCTGAGTGGTTTCTTCTTGTTCCATGTTGGCTCATGTCTGTGCATGCATAAACATGTCAGTGTGTACGTCAGTTCCGGTTTTAAACACTGTAAGTGTGCATGCCATGGCATTTACTTATAGAGCCCATGTT